AAAAACAAGATAGTGGCAATATCCAATCCCAATCCAGGAGATTGCAGGAATCCAAAGGTGAGAGGCATATGCCTAAACAAACTGGTGCTGTGTCAGTAGTGATCTAGATGCTGTACCAGTCTGTCGCGGTAAAGAGAGTGCTGAGCCTTGACGTGAAGCTGTCGATTTACAGATCAATCTTTGCTCCCAGCCAGAAGCTCGGTGTAGTGACCAAAAGAATGACTGTGGATACAAGCAACAGAAATAACATTCCTCCATAAGGTGTCTGGCCTACAACTTACAGCGAGGGTGACATACTCAGTTCAGCAGGAGCTAAGAACAGCGCCACGACTGCCCCACATTGAAAAGCCGGTTCAAATGGTTTGGGCATCTGATCGGGATGCCTCCAGGGCACCCGCTCAGTAAGTTGGTTCAGACATGTCCTACAAGCAGGAGGGCCCAGGGCCGACCCATGACACGCTGGAGAGATTATGCCTCTCAGCTGGCTTGGGAATGCCTCAGTGCCGCCCTGGAAGAGCTCGAGGAAGTGGCTCGGGAAAGGGAGGCCTGGGAGTATCTGCATAAGACTGCTCTCCCCATGACCCAGACCTTGATAAGTGGCAGAAAATGGAGAGATAGATGGGTTGCTGGCTTTAACATCAAAACAAGATTGCCTCCCCCCCACATTATAGTTTATATGTTTCAAACAAATGTAGGGTTTTAGCGATGTACTTATAAACAAAAGCATAATGCTGTAGGTTGCATTTTGCACAGTACTCGGTTTGGGTTTGTGCACGTATATTTGTATGTGTTTGTGGGGCGGACGTTGAGTGGAAAGGGTTGCATGATTTTACACCAACAATGAGAGCTGAAAGATGCTGTTTTGAGACAGCATGACGTGATAGTCTACTGTCACAAAGTGTGTGTGCGTGCATGTTAGGACAGCAGATGTTAGGCATGGAAACAGGGTGGCATCTGAATCATGAGACACAAAAAGCATGACACATGCTCTTCAAACACCCACTGAGCCTCACACACAGACAGACGCACACAACTCAACATGGCTTTTCTGCAGGGCAATGTATTTTCTATTTAAAAATGAGTACACAATGTGTTTTTGTGTTGTGATATTGGAAGAAAAAATATCACAGAGATTATGTGTTATTAGAGAGTGGAGTAACTGCAGTGGTGATGACTAGCTGCTTTCATCTCATCAATTCTTAACCATGTCATTCAGCATCAGTTTTAGCAATTTACAATTCATTATATACATTCCACTCTCTCAGCTTATGGAGGGTTCACGAGTCACCTCAAGATGTGTAACTGCCATAGCATTTGTTTTATTAGGGCCTCTTCATCAAAGGACAGAAAGAACTGAGTTTTTTGGGTATAAAACTTTCACTGCAAATTAAAATGTTCTGAGCTTAACGTCAGCACATTCATCTGGATGTCAAACTGTTTTAGTAATTTATTACAAAAGAGGGATTTTAACATCTGACAGCAGTAACAAAATTATATTTTCCCTGCATGCTTTTTGAAAGATGACAAGAAAAATGTGCTTAGCTTTTAAATAGATTTTTTTTTTTGTAAAGAGACGCAAAGCTTTTTGAATCACAAGGCTCAAATCAGAATCAATTTTCAGTTCCAGGCCAATATTCATTTCAGTTAATAGAAAATGGGGTTACATTTTACAAAAACGCGAAGTGCTACACTGCACCGTTAATAATGTTTGTGTCTCCAGCAGTGGAAAAAAGGCTCTGCAAAAACACTTCTTCTAGTTAGATGCACTGTTTTGCCAGAACCCAATACAACAGCAGCTAATGTGAAATAAAAGGATGAGTTTAGTTTTTCCCACATTGGCCAGTATTTTCAATATAGTCACACTGCAGTATAGAGATAACCCAACTGCAGGTCGGAATAATAAAATTGGAGCATTTATGGGTTCCTGGCAAAAATAACAAGTGTAAAAAAAATACTAAATCTAAAGGGGCACAAGTGCATCCCAGCAAATACGGCTGAAACTCCAGCATCATCTCACCAACAGATGTCAAGAAAAGACAACAGTGTTCAGCATCAAAATGTTTGCTGGGATAAACACTGGATCATTGGAGCATATCAACGAATGTCTCGAGGTTTGATGGATGAACATAATCAAGGAAAGTAAGACTAACACAAGAGAGAAATGTACATTTCAAAGTAAAACAGGAAGTAACCAAAAGACAAATGCTAAACACCGAGACAAGAAAAGAAAATACTACAGAGAAAAGAAAACACAGGAGGGCAAAGGAACTGACATTGAAACAAGACAGAGAGGGAAACCGTCAGGGTGCTAAAGACACAACATGAACTCAAGAATACTCTAGCATCTAGCAAGAGTCAGCCTTACTAGCATCCATGGTAGCATGTTTAATACCAAAGTAGAAGCTTGAACAAGCCATTTAAGTTGATAAAAGGTCAGTGAAAACTTTTAAAGACAGATAACAATTCATTTCCACTGAACTGCCATCACTTAATGCTGTGTAACATTCCCTCCCACTGTATCTGCTTCCCTACTTTAAAATGGATTGACCTTACTTCACTCTCTGCACAGCCAAAAAGCAATCCAAGCCTTGTCTTCTTTGAAAATCATAAGAGAAGAGTCCCATCCTGCCTTCCATCTCCACTCATTTTGCTTTTCTAAATGGCTGAAGAGTTTAATTTGTTCTGATAAAAGCCAAATGCAGCTCTAAACCTCACACGTGGCAAAATCCGAAGATGTGAAAAAAAAATACTTTCTTGCTCCATCCGTTCATCTTATAATACAAACAGGGATAAAAACTTTTATATTTCTTGTGTAAGTTGTTGACTGCAAAGTCTAATGTATCCATTTGAACCAAACAGATAGCTACAGTGCCTCAAATCTAAGCTAAGTGTGGCACATCCAGAATAAAATTGTGTTTCTTATCAAAACTATATTATTAAAAAATGTGAATTATGCAAAGAAAAATAAGAGGACTGGATAGATTGTAACACTATCTCACCAATAAGCCAAAAGTTACGCTGTGAAAAACATATTTTAAAAAGATTTCAGCTCCCATAATTGCAAAGAAGTTCAGCAAATGTTTGAAGCAGCCCTCGGCTCTTTTCTCCTTATGAGCCATTTCATTAGAATGTATAAGAGCAACAGCTAAGCCCGCGAAGTAATTGAAAAGCTGTTAAGACCAAAATGAAGATAAAGGAGGTGGGGGCCGAGATTGGATCTATCTTTCTCAAAGAAGCGTGGACAATCTCTCATCATTTGGCATTCATCTTATCAGCTCACTCATCTGAGCTCGTAATTAACAACAAGCTCTGAACCAGTTGGAGGGATTGCAATTAAGGTCCCAGTCTTATTCAAAAAGAGAAAGAAACAGAGATTCCACAAGTATGTGTCGGCTATTTGCAATGCTTGACTCAAATTTATCATTTCACCTTGTTTGGGGTGAAATAGTATCAGACCACACTGATGACAGATGAGTTGTTGTTCGTTACGTAACCGCAGTGGCTAGTTTGCATGCATTAGTCAACTATTACTGCGCACAAGATCAAATGTTAGAATGACTTTATGAATAGATCATAAAGTCATCTGTCTCCCAGCCTCACATCCATCTGTCTCATGCCTGTTTGTCCACTACATATTCCTCACATCTCACTGCTCTCCCTGAAAATTAACGCTTCCCTTTTTTCCACTCTTTACATGTAGGATGGCTGCTCTCTCTCTCTATGGTGGCAAAATAAAGGACACCAAATAGTAACCAGTTGTCATGGCAGATGAATCTGAATTCGAATGTAAATCTTATATACAGTTTGTGTTTTCCATGACATCTTCCTGCGTGTTTCACAATAAAAGCCTAAAAAAAAAAAGAAGGCTCCTTGTCTACTGAAATGGTATATGTGCTTTTAATTTTTAATGTGGAGTAATGAGGTAACTTTTGCAGAGGAGGAGCAGACGGACTACAATTCAAACAAAGATATTTAAAAGAAAAGAAGAGACCAAACACTATGAGATGAAACACAGCATTCATGTAAATCAAAGAAAAATAGAAACGTTGTTACTAGTTTTGGTTAACTTTGGTTTTGTTAGATTTTAAAAAAGAATAAAAGATCTTTTGCAGCCAGTACTACAGCTCTTTTGGCTCACATCCATCTGATCCTGCACTTTACCTCACACTTTCAAGCTGGAGCACTTAATTAAAAAGTTCATCGGTGCACAGCGTTAAAAAGAACAAGCTGGAGCTGCAGTGATTTTCAAAGCATCGGTGGTGTGTCTACACAGACACCATTAGTAACAGCGTATAATCATTACTTTTTGTGCAAGAAGGAATTTGTGGAAACAAGCAGTGAGGTTCTAATTTATTTAAAGTTCCACTCATCAATATATAACAACTGTGTAATATGACTAGGTGCGCGTAATAGAGCCATTTAATTAAATTGCAAAATAAATGTATAAAATTATTCACTGTAGCCAGTTACTAATCAAAACATAAGTGATTAGACAGAAGTTGCAGTTGAACAATATAGTTACTAAATAAAGCATACTAATATGACATTACATAACTGACTGAAAATCACTGGTCTAAAAATAACATAACAATAAATGTAAAGAGAAGAAACTGAAACCAAAGTATCAATCTCATCATGCTATTATAAATCTGATACCAACACCAACACTGCTAATGATAGTATCGATCCACTCATCCCAACAAGGCCGGCTGATATATGTGATCTATATCTATAAACTGCTCGTACTGCAGGGATTTAAACATCGTAATTGAATGAGTGACACAGTGCTGTTAAGGGGATGCATTTTCAGTTGTAGGGTGATACCTGCAGGGGAACACTTCTCTCAGATTTTTAATGAAACAACATGGCAGCTGGATGTGTCAGAGTTTCTCTCTATGAGGAGGAAACTTGCCTTGCTGCAGTGGAATGTTTAAAAGCCAATCACCTCATAGCAATGTATGTGTGAGTATGTGGTTCAGCTCAAATGAAACCTTACTCACCCCAGCTGCAAAGCCTAAACTTCCATCCAAGATGCGCTTCTGAAAAGGGCAGACAAGAAGAGAGATTGTGAGTGAGGCAGGGAAATCGATATCATAGTAACCCTGACAGTGGAAGAGCCAGCAGTTCAGTGCATTCCTCACCATCGACTTAACTCGGCAAAATGGGCATGTGTTACCGGAGTCAGAAATGGTAAAAATACATCAAACAGTGTGCAGGTTTTGCACAGTGTTTTCATGCTTTCTGATTCATTTCTCTGCGATTTAGCTGAATAAATTTACGGTTTATCATATCACTTAAAGGTTGCAGAAACAAATATTGACATCACTAGCTGCTAAAGTGTTCTGGATTTTCTCACTGTGTGTCCACATAGACTTAAATTCTATATGTGGTTAGGTGTTGGGTGATGGTGAACACACCAACACATAAATAAATTATTCAACTGTGTGTATCCATTCCACACCTACAAATACTTTTGTCACAAAAAGTCCAGCTGTGCTGTAATTGAATGCAGCTGATATCCAAGCACAACACACATGTATGAGACTGTGTGTTAGAAAAGACTGATATCGGGTTTTTAAGACCAATACACATGCAGATATTTGGTGATTTAAAAATGTGATCTTGGAATATATCCACCAACATTTTTTTTTTGACATACAAAACATAAACAGATTCCCCTAAAATGTGTTACCTGTGGTTATTTATTTACTCACTTGTGCTCTGCCTGACTTTACTTAGATCAGCTGGTTTTTTGAAATTGTGCAATTCCAAATATGTGTGCTGTCAACAGGGAAGTAGCAGAGTGGCTTTTCCTCTCTCTGATGGACAAACTATTCAACATCAATACTCATTTAATGGGTTAAGACTGCTTCCTCCATCTAGTCTTAATTTTTTTTAATTTCATTTGACGACCACTATAAATGCTGGCACTGATAGCTCGGCAAACAGCGAATATCTGCCGCTAATAAATTAAAAATTGACCTAGCTGCAATGCATTCATTTTAAACTCTTAACATTATTGAATTTTCCACCATAAATTACTACACGTGGATGAGAGAGTGGCGTGCTGAGTTAAAATCCAGCATGGATGCCAACCACAGACACACATATCTGCTGATTAGCGCTAATCAACACTGAATAAGATAATTAAGTGAAAATGTTATAAAAGACACCAACAGCACAAGCATAGATGAGACAGCAGTGACTCATATTTAGCTGAGGTGATTGCTGCCTATCAGAAACACTGCAAACGTTAAGCCTGACTAGTAGCAAAACTTCACATGTCCATAACTTAAGAACTACAGAAGTATAGAACCTTTTGTTAAAGAAAAATTTGAAGTGCAGGCTTTGAAATGGACTGAAAGTATAAAAATAAAAAGTCACTTTTAAGGTTATTTCTACCAGCTAGTTTATCATTTTAAATTTGAATTCTAATGAATTCACTCGACTTGATCTGTTAAGTAGAACAGAAGCAAGAAAGAAAAACAGAAGAAACCTAAAAACTAGCTGTATTCAAAAACGCAGATTGTTACGTGGCCCTGAAAGATCAAACAGACTGAAAATATCCGCAAATAGAAAAATGCTGCAGAATCACATAAAACACAAGGACATTAAATGAAATTCAATGAAAATAGGAACAAAAATGTCTGTTCTGTCACATTATTGTATCCCCAGAAACACTTCTGCTTTTTTTTAGCTTTTGTAGTGTTTGGGGTTTTTTAATGTTGCTTTTTAGTTGTGTTGCTTTTGAATGCTGTTTAGTTGGACATTTCAACATGGGAGTCTATGGTGATTTACCCACTTGTAGAGCCAGTCTCAAGTGGCCCTGGTAGGAACTCTTTGTTTTTGTAGGAGCTGCCAGCAAACAGAGAAAACATGAGACATGGAAGGGCCCTGTCTAGCTGGCTTGCAGCAACCAAACTTTCAAAATAAGAGAAAAGTAGTAGATTCATTTGAGATAGCACCGTTCTTTCAGATTAAAAAATATATATAAATCATCTCACATCATCTCACATCATCTCACATCATCTATAATTGACTGAGACAGGACTCTCTTCCAGACACTAAACCAAGGCACAATGTACATTTCAAATTCCTTTAATTTTAAACATGTTTATATTGTCTATCCTGTAAAATAGTCAGATGTCTATTCATATTAATGTACATAATTCACCTGCTTGCTGCTACTACTGCACATTCACCCAGTGTATATACTATATGTCTGTATATATATATATATATATAATGTTCTTCCTCTACCCCCCCCCCAATTTTTGCACATGTCGAGGAGCGTGTCAGGCTACATTTCACTGTGTGTTATACTTGTATAACTATGCATGTGACAAATAAAGAACCTTGAACCTTGAACCTTGATAAATTCCAAAATTTGTCACCAAATGTAGGCAGCTGTAAATTGACCAGGTCACACTAAGTTCATGGGTGGAAAACTCTAGCTCACCAAATAATTTGCTAGTATTTCTTTAGAAGAGCGATTCCTGGAGCTCAGAGTGACACTCATTACCTGTCGGCTGGAGAAGATGAACACCAGAGCAGCTCCGGCAGCAGTCAGACCCCATGTGAACAGAGTCCCCAGCAGGGCCTGGGTCACAGGGCTGTAGCCTTCTAGCATAGTGACAGACCTAAACAAACAACACGGCCACACTAAAAGTTAGCCCGTGGCACATCGACATTATATTCAAAAAGATAGGCGACAGAAAGACTGCAGAAAGACTTTGAAAACTAGAGTAAAACAAAAAAAAGGCTGCTTTCAGGTAATCCTACAAGGCTACAAGACTCCTCTTAAGTCAACACACATGCTAATGCACAGCCCTCGTGTGACTGACTCACGCCTCACACCTTGTTTTTTCAGCACACAGTGGAACAAGAAAGATGTTTCAAATCCTGTTTGCTTTGCATTTTAACATCCTGGATTTTTTTTTTCTATTGCTGCACTATGATTATTATCACTGCCGTCCTAGGGTTTCAATCATCAACACACCAAATAATTTTCATGTTAATATACAATATTCGCTTTTTAAATTCCAGTGAAATCAGTTAGTAGTAGTTGTTAGTAAAACTTTTATTCAAATATGAGTGCCTATAAGCTCTGTCTGATAATAAGCCTGTTAACTTTTGGTAAGCCCAATATCTGCCTGAAAAGTTCAGCCCCCTGTGGTCAATTCAACTTATTCAATTCAATTTAGTTTTATCTTCTCAAGGCACTTTGCTCTGTCTCTACCTTCCAATACAATTTAAACCACATTATCCAATGTGCAGTCAGGGCCCACCACATTTGGGGACCCATCCAAGGCACAGATGAAAAAGAGATCTCTTAAACTTTCAGATCATCAAGACATGTATATATATATTTATCATAACAAAATAATCTAATTTGTAGAATGCAGTCCTCCTTTTTTTTTACCTGCTCCTTTCTCACCTCCACTGCTAAAGGAATTAATCTACAACTAACTGCTGTATTTGCACTACTTCCTAAATGAATGAAACAAGTAGAAGGGGAAATATCAAACAACAGAGGGTAAAAAAAACAGAAAAAAAAAAAACAGGCATATGCAACCTTTATGGAAACTGCCTATTTTGTTCTTTTTTCTTCTTCTTTTTTTGTTCAAGCAATTCAAGATGAAGACACTGCAGTTCACTTTAAAGTTGTTAAGACAACATTCAGCAAAATGACAAGCAAGATAATTTGGGTGTACACAGGTGGAGCCGTGTGTGCATGTGTATGTGAAAGGACACACAATTAAATTATATAATACACATTATCCTTTTAAAAAAAGCTTAATTTTTTTTAAATTGTTCTTCATTTTCCATTTTATATAAGACACGTTTTACATCGTGGGCCACATATAGCCCACTTTAGATGTAAGTGGACCACACAATTTAAACTCTTGCAAAGAAGTTTAAGCACACATTTAATCAAACGTTTAATACCTGCGATATTTTAATATTATATGTCATTTTAACAATAAAAAAAATGTTGCTTTAAGGTCTTCAAGGTCATTTTAAATCTCAATTTCAAATTGTAAAGTTAGATACTTATTGATCCTTTTTAGCTTAAAGCGTATATTTACTCCCCTTACCTCAGTCTTAAAGTGTATATTTATTTCTTACTCTTCCTATATTTATTGTTGGGTTTTTTTGCATTGAATGGACCTGCAGCGTCGTCATCTCGTCTCTCTATATACTGTACTGTATATAGCAGAGATGACAATAAAGTTTACTTTGACTTTGAACTTTTAATGAATAAATATTTAAATTAGATAAAAAGTTCTTACTTCACTGCACAGACTGTCCTGTGATTATAAAACTTTATTTTTTTGTAATTGAATGTCTTTTTGTGTTTCGTTTTATTTTGCTTTGCTCCTTTTTAAGGTAAACCCACTACAGAAATCGTAAATTTCTATAGTAGATCGTGAAAAAACAGGAACTTTCTGTTATTCAATTGTTTACCTATTAGTTGTTTACGTTGGTGTAGTGTGAATGGTCAAGGAGGTCTTTATCATTAGAAAAAGCTGTACAGCTAAAAGTCAAAGACATATGCCCTCCATTATATATGTGAGACTGCAGCAGTAAAACCCTGGTAGTGTTACAATGAACAAGAGAGGAGCACATAGGAAAAATATTCGCCTCGTACGCGTGGACTCATTTTGGAGCGTAAAGTTAAACGTATTCCTTTCTTGTGCGTATACAATCAGCTTTAAATGACAGCTGACTCTTGTCAACAGCTGTTAACTATTTTTTTCATTTTCTCGTCTTTTCCTTTGCCTTTGCTCTGTTCTGCGATATAACCGGTCTTCGTGGAGACCTTCTGGTACATCGAGTTTTAAATACCAATACACGTGAGAAGCACAAAGTGCAGATTACAGAAAACAGAGGTAAATGAAAGCAAGCCGGCTCTCTTAAAATATTCGCTTTGTTTTTAAAAATATCAGTGTCATATTTCCAAAACACGCTGTTTCTGGTATTGTGAAGCGAAAGTAATGAATTCGGCACAGTTCAATTTTATCCTAAATCTATTGTATCGCTAATTTCTTTATATGTCTTTCGGGTTTACTCACTTCTTTCCAGCAGCACTCCGAGTGCTCTGTATTTACTTCCTACTTCCTAGTACACGTGTCTATGACTCTATTAGCCCCGCCTCTGCTCGCAGGCTATTGGCCATCAACTTTAACAGTAGTAATCGAAGACAGCGTTCATTATCATCAATATTATTATTATTTTTTTATTATGATTTTTTTTGTTATTATTAGTAGTAGTATTACGTATTTATTTATTAATTTATTTAAAATTTAAGCCAACTTTATTTATAAACCACTGACTTAAGTGCTGAAAATACGAATATAAATATTTCAGGAGAATATTTTAAATTTAACCTTCCAAATGTAATCTGTGCATTGTTTTTTGTTTGTAATTGACTGATTCAAACTATCCGCTTTTTTGTAGGTCATATAGGCAAGGAGTTTTCTCACACTGGTGGGATAGACACTCGCTCTTTTGGCCCCCTTTTGTTTTCAGAACTGCCTTGTGTGTGCCTGGCATACACTGAAGTTGGATTTCTCTGAGATTTTGCTGAGAACTCATTCCACCACATCATGAAGACGCTCTCTATTGGAGGGTTTTTTTAGTGCAATGAACTAACTTTCGTATGTGTTCAAGAAAACACACTGAGACGATTTCAGCTTTGCGACATTATGCAGCTGGAAGCAACCATTCAAAGATGGCAATAATAGGTAGGCTGTGGCATTTAGGTTTGCGCTAAAAAGCCTCGAATGTGCCATAAAATACCTCGATAGTACAGGGTGGGCCATTTATATGGATACACCGTATTAACATGGGAATGGTTGGTGATATTAAAGTCCTGTTTGTGGCACATTAGTATATGTGAGGGGGCAAACTCCTCAAGATGGGTGGTGACCATGGTGGCCATTTAGAAGTCGGCCATCTTGGATACAACTTTTGTTTTTTCAATAGGAAGAGGGCCATGTGACACATCAAACTTATTGGTAATGTCACAAGAAAAACAATGGTGTGCTTGGTTTCAACGTAACTTTATTCTTTCATGAGTTATTTACAAGTTTCTGACCACTTATAAAATGTGTTCAATGTGCTGCCCATTGTGTTGGATTGTCAATGCAACCCTCTTCTCCCACTCTTCACACACTGATAGCAACACCGCAGGAGAAATGCCAGCACAGGCATCCAGTATCCGTAGTTTCAGGTGCTGCACATCTCGTATCTTCACACCATAGACAATTGCCTTCAGATGACCCCAAAGATAAAAGTCTAAGGGGGTCAGATCGGGAGACCTTGGGGGCCATTCAACTGGCCCACGACGACCAATCCACTTTCCAGGAAACTGTTCATCTAGGAATGCTCGGACCTGGCACCCATAATGTGGTGGTGCACCATCTTGCTGGAAAAACTCAGGGAACGTGCCAGCTTCAGTGCATAAAGAGGGAAACACATCATCATGTAGCAATTTCAAATATCCAGTGGCCTTGAGGTTTCCATTGATGAAGAATGGACCCACTATCGTTGTACCCCATATACCACACCAAACCATCACTTTTGTTGTTCCAACAGTCTTGGAGGGATCCATCCAATGTGGGTTAGTGTCAGACCAATAGCGGTGGTTTTGTTTGTTAACTTCACCATTCACATAAAAGTTTGCCTCATCACTGAACAAAATCTTCTGCGTGAACTGAGGGTCCTGTTCCAATTTTTGTTTTGCCATTCTGCAAATTCTGTGCGCCGATCTGGGTCATCCTCGTTGAGATGCTGCAGTAGCTGGAGTTTGTAAGGGTGCCATTTGTGAGTAGCTAATATCCGCCGAAAGGAATGTTCGACTAATGCCACCCTCAGTGACATGCGGCGAGTGCTACGCTGTGGGCTCTTGCTGAATGAAGCTAGGACAGCCACTGATGTTTCTTCATTAGTGACAGTTTTCTTGCGTCCACATTTTGGCAAATCCAACACTGAACCAGTTTCACGAAACTTAGCAAGCAGTTTGCTAACTGTAGCATGGGAGATGGGTGGTCTCGTAGGGTGTCTTGCATTGAAATCTGCTGCAATGACCCGGTTACTGCGTTCACCAGATATCAACACAATTTCGATCCGCTCCTCATGTGTTAACCTCTTCGACATGTCAATGGCTGTGAACAAAGAGAAACTTGTAAATAACTCATGAAAGAATAAAGTTACGTTGAAACCAAGCACACCATTGTTTTTCTTGTGACATTACCAAAAAGTTTGATGTGTCACATGGCCCTCTTCCTATTGAAAAAACAAAAGTTGTATCCAAGATGGCCGACTTCTAAATGGTCACCATGGTCACCACCCATCTTGAGGAGTTTGCCCCCTCACATATACTAATGTGCCACAAACAGGACTTTAATATCAACAACCATTCCCATGTATCCCTATAAATGGCCCACCCTGTACAACACCAGCAGCAGCCTGAACAAGGCAGGATGGATCCACGCCTTCTTGTTGTTTGCACCAAATTCTTAAGCTACCATCTGAGCGTCACAGCTGAATATGAGACTTGTCAAACCAGACAATGTTTATCCAAACTTCTATTGTCCAATTTGATGAGTCACTGTGAATTATAGCCTCAAATACCTATTCTTAGGACCAGGTGTGGTCTTCTGCTGATGTAGCCTAAGTTTAATGTGTTGTGTGAGATGCTGTTCTGTATACTTGCGTTCCTAATAGCTCAATGCTTATTGGAAGGCGTGATACCAAAGACCATTGTCCGCATCAACAAGACATTTTCCTTCAGAGAATTCCCACTCACTGGATAATTTCTCTTTTTCAGAAGATTCCATGTAAACTCTATAGATTGCTGTGTGGACACCAGATATTACAGTAACGCGTTACAAGTGATGCGTTACTGTAATCCAATTACTTTTTTCAAGTAACGAGTAAAGTAAGGGATTACTATTGCAAAAAAGGTAGTTAGATTACTGTTACTTTCCCGTAAGCACGCTGCGTTACTGTGTTACTAAAACCGTGATTTTTTTGCCAGAGTGTCTCATGACAATGACGTAAGCAAGTGCGATGTTCATGGCAACAGCTGTGTGCAGATCAACAAAAGATAATATATCGAGTGCGGGAGAGAGTATGAGCGTGCAGCGTTTAAAGCGTGGAAGTACTGACCTTTCTTTGAGTTTGATTCCGTAAAAAGTGACAAAAACATTAGTGTCCGCTGTTCACTGCGTGGGAAGAAAACTTCTTTTTACAGTGAAAAAAACCCTTAACTTCCGAGCAAGCACCGAGTGCGCTGCCGCTGGAATGTGAAATTCACAGACAAACTCGTGGATTCTTCTACTGAGCGCTGCGGCTCACCTGCACCAGGGTAAACCTCCACCTGCTATACAGGTGAAAATAGAGCAACAGGACCGCTGAGTCTTTGATTTTATTTATTTTCTGCTGTGTTTCACTTGCATTTATTTGAAAGAGTGAGTGTAAACACAAAAAAATATTTTATTTTATGTGCTGGAATGTGCAGAAAATAGGTTTAAATGTTAAACAAATTTCTTCCAGTCAGCGAATGTTGCATATAATTACATTTTTGCTTGATGCATGAAGTTAAAAGATTAAAACTAATAAAACAAGTTTTAAAGAGACTTTTCCATTTGATTACATTTTGTATGATGGATTATGTAGAAAAAGTAGAATTGGGCTGACAGATCTATCGCTTTATCACCTATTCAGGATGTAAATCATGTTTTTAAAAAGTAACTAAGTAACTAGGTAATTAATTACTTTTGAAAATAAGTAATCAGTAAAGTAACGGGATTACTTTTTTAGCGAAGTAATCAGTAATTAGTTACTGATTACTTTTTTCAAGTAACTTGACCAACACTGGTGGACTCTGTCATTTTCTCAAATACTCAGACTAGCCTGTCTGGCACCAACAACCATGTCACATTCAAAGTCACTTCAATCATCTTGATCCATGACTACATGCTTAAACAAGCCAAATTTCTGCCTTGTGATTGGCCGATTCAATAATTTAGCAAAAAGTGTCATTTGTAAAGTCAAAGAGGTGCAACATGTTTAGTTTCTGGGGATTCAGAACACAGGCAGTAGTTAGACAGCAGCATGCTAACTTCTATTAAAGTGTTGGAGCCTTCTTCAGGTCTTTGATCATTTCTTTCTTTCTTAAAGCTTTTTCACAAATGAGGTTTCAGTTAATTAAATTGATTTTCATTCCATGCACCTTTTTATCTGGCAGAACACTGACATTTTGGCTTGGATGGCTGCAAAAAGACCTAAGATTATAGGATTACAAAAGTCTTTGGGGAAATGAATCAACTTCTTACTTGATTTGTTTCCCAGTGCATTTGTGGTCTCAGTCTTTAGTTTCAAGCCTTATTGAACAAAGAATTATGCCCATTTATTAAACCATGGCCTTACTTCAAGCAAAGTGAATAATAAAGCAGGGTATACTTTAGGGCATGGCTGTCTACTGCTACTGGGTCCATGTGCATTTTTCCAATTTAAGAATGAGGAGAAAGCTGCAGCAAAAGTGCTAAAGTGGGGATTCAGAACCATCATCAGGACCCAGGAATTAGCCAGCGATTGAGTACATTCAAAACATCAGCAATTTCTGATATTCAAAACACTTATTTAGTTGGTCCCTGATGCTGTACTGAATATAGGATTTGGTGCTCTCATCGCTGCTGCCCAGGCTCAATTCCCAGTCAGAGAGTGATGCTTGGCACTATACTGATACCCACTCATGAGTGGGCAGAAATTAATGCTGAGACTAATATTCCTCAGTCCTCATATCTTGAGTATGTGTAAGACAGTGGATTCATGTGTTTCTGTGAGTTGGACAGCTCCACAACATTCAATGTTTTCTTCAAAAGGTTAACAACTATAAGTTAAAGACATATCAAGGATAAAACTATCTGTTAAAATTGTTCTTGTTGTTAACCCTGAAAACCAGTTATTTGATGGTCACAAATTTTATTTAACACTTCCTCAAGTGATTCAGTGCTTTTGAAAAGTCAGTCATTCAGGGTACTCAAAGCACTGATGTAGTGGGTCCCTGATGGGCTAATGGCTATAATGCAGCTCACTCAGTGCATCAGCTTGGGTTTGATTACTGGTCAGGGAATCAAAG